AAGAGTTATCCTGCGTTGGATTTCTAGGCTGACATTGTTGGTGGTGTTTACGCTGGTTCCAAGATAGACGAAATTATCTACGACTTCAAAGTTATGATAGATACAGATAGATATTTCATCTTGCCCTCTTTCACTGCCAGACCCATTTGTTTTGCTTCTTTATCTAGTCTGGAGCGGAACTAACGGCGGTGTTGAGGCCAATGATATCAATATCATCGGTATACGCCAGCAGCTGTACACTCTTATAGAAGATGGTACTTTCTCTATTTACTTCGGAAGCTCGAACTTTTTTATCAGRAGCAGATTGAAAAAGTCGCACGATGAGGAATCGCCTTACTGAAACCACGTTTGGTATCGAACGGCTCGGAGAGATCCTTCCCGATTCTGACGGAGCTTTTGGTGCTGCTCAACGTCAGCTTACACAGCCGTATAAGTTTTGTTTCTTCAGATGGGTAATTGCTATTCGAACTTCTTCATGGTGGAGCAATGGAACGTCTGCTCCATCGTCATCGATTGGGGAATCGGGTTAGCCTTCTTCTGGCGTTGTACGTTCACTGCCATTCAGCAGGCTGAAGAAGTGTTTCCTCCATAATCTACGTATGCTCTGGGCATCGATGACTAGCCGCCTCAACCCATCTGGGGACGTTTGCTCGTGGAGGCTGAATTTACCGACCGTAGTGCCAAGGATACCTTCTTTGCTCACCCTGTCGTTAAAGTCGCCAAGCACGATTTCCAAGCACTCATAAAAGGCATCTTTGGTCATATCGTCCTTCTCTTCCGTCGGGGCGTGGGCGCAAATCAACAGTATGTTGAAGAACCTCGCTTTGATGCGGATTRCGGCTAGACGTTCATTCACCGGAGTGAATGATAGTACTGCGCGATGGAGTCTCTCTCCCACCACGAATYCCACACCAAACTTGTGCTCCTTTATATGACCACGGTAGTAAATGCCACAAAGACCTACTCGTCTCAGTCCTTGTCCCGTCCACCGCTTTTCTTGGTGACATCAACCAGCTGGGCGGCAGCACCTTCCCAATTACCGGGCCGGACATTCCAGGTGCATGTCCTTTTTTCGTTTGAAATGGTCGTCATCGAAAGTGGGGTCTCTCATCCGAGGCTGTTGTTGCTTTTTCATTAGGGGTGTTTTTTTACGTGGCGGGTCCCAAACCCAGCGCGCAACCCTATGCAGGGGATGTTTCGCCGGAAGTCGTGAGCTGCTTGAGTCATATGTAAAAGAATCGTTTCTGGCCACTCCCAAGTAAAGGGCGATCAGAGAACTTTCCTCACTTACGTGAACTTCTACACATGACTCCATCCTCCCTTCTTGAAGTTAACCGTTCAAAAATGCAGTTACCGCATCTAACTGAAGCACCGACAAGTTATGTTTCGCCGCAATAGCAAATAAAAATCGTAATGAATTGTATCTGACTACAGCAGAAAATATTCCCGAATAGTCAACACCTTCATTTTGTGAGTAACCTTTAACTACGAGCCTTGTTTATAACATTCAGCATTGCGCTKGGTTTTAAAAACCCACTTCGAATTTATTGCTCTTTTACCTTCAGGCAAT